AAATTGTATACCAAGTTACCTGCTTTGATCAAACTTTTTACTTAATAGTCTATATTTGCACCACAAAAAGACAATTAATATATATTGCACGAAAGTATGTTATTGAATTATTAATATAATTTTCTACTTAAAATTTTATTTACATTTTTAATTTCTCAAATGTAATAATATTTTTTTTTATTATACCACAATTTTCAAAAGATCGAAATTAAAGTAAAATTCCATTTCTCATATTAAGTCGGGTAGATTGCAAAGTAAATGCAAGTTAAGAATGGCATGGATTATCATGGTAAGCATGAGTTGTGTACGTGTTGACATTTCTAATATTGTCCCTATCATCTTTAATCATATACATATTACGTAGAGAGAGTCAAAAAGGTTACTTTAGCCACAGCGATTTTTCTTGGGAACTATTTTTATTTTTATTTTATTTTATTGAAAGAAGGAACTATAAATTATTAAACATGATAAAATCATAAAATCACAAAATCTTCTATAAGACCATCTTATAGAATATAGATTATTGTTTGTCTTTGTGAGATTGGTCAAATTTTTTATAAGTATTGTATTTTTTCATATAAATTTTATATTTTTCTGATAAATAACTCTTCAACATTTATATATTTTTATTTAAAAGTATTACATTTTTAATCAAAATGTATTCTATTTTTTCTCATTGATATAATAATCAATCAACTTATCCTTTAATTAGTATTATATTTTTCTCCTAAATAATTATTCCATCCCAAAATATTATATTTTGATTTAGAAATATTACGTTGACCCGTATCACAGGAAACACACCCATTAAACATATATTCCTCCAAAGACAACAATGTACGTACGCTACGTGACAAACGTTGTTGCCTCCTTATTTATTAACACTGACCTTCATGCATGTCCTCCACATACTAAAAGTCGCAGATTCCGTCTACATCTTTTTTTTCTTTTCTTTCAGACGACTTCGTGATGTTTTACAACTCAAAAGCATCTCGTTTGTGTTAATATTTGAAAAAACGAAACTCGAAACGAAAAGTACACGTCAAATTATAATTGGGTGCAATAAGGATAATGTGGCGACAATCTTTTTATTTTTTAAACATGATTTGTTGCAATATAGTATCTGTTTTATACTCTTTCAATTTTTTTCAGCTCAAAGAATCAAAGTCTTCACATCATCGATGTTCAATCCTGTAAACACCCCCCCCCCCCCCCCCCCCATTTAGAAGGGTATAGTAATAGATGTGTTATCACATCACATAGTAGTTGACTCTTTTAAAATCATTAAAAAAAAAACAAACAAACAAACAAACAAATGTTTGTTTCTAGCAGGAGAGGAAGAGTTCTTTTTTAATTTATTTTAAATTATTAAAATATATTAAATAATTAATTTTTTAATGGTTACCACCAGATTAATGTTGAGAGGGCTCAATTACAATTTCATGTATAGTTCGATGACCTATTCAACTCTTATTTTAAAATAAAAAAAATAAAAAAAAAATTGTGCCAAATTCTCTTCTACTTTTCACTATATTTTCTTTACCAGCAACTTATAAAATATCAAACCACGCTTTCTAGCAAGAAAAATGTGTCGCTTATTTAACCTTTTTCATTTAGTGAACCATTTAACTTAGCAACATCATAGAGGAATGTTGACAGTGAAAATGCAGGGAAAGAAGTATTTTTCAAAAAGGAATGGAATAATAGAAAAATGCATTGTGGTAATTGGTGGATTGGACAGAAATATAATATACGTGAATCTAGAAGTGGATGGGTTGCCATGCATGCAAGATTGAAAATTGGTAGACAGAGGTTTTGGAAGCATGCGACAATTCCGATAATCAGTACCTAACAACCGACAATCGGGACTGGCGGGCGGCGGCGACTCTCCTTTTACTCTTAGTAGAATTTAGATTGTATATTCATCGTTACTGAATTTGTTAAGAGTATCGTTGCAAATATTTCTATACATACATTGTACGAATCACGGATAACTCTTTTTTATAAATAAACTTTTTTTTGAAAGCACTCTTTTTATAAATATGAAATCTCATATATACTCTCATTTATTCAATTAGAATGTTGAGATTAGGGATATGATGTCAATTGTATCATACCTGACGAAAACTCGACTTCCCGTCCCAACGGGAAGAATGGGAACAAAAATAAAAGATCGGAGATGGAGATGGAGTAATTTTTAATTCCCCACCCCGTCCTCGAATATATATATATATATATATATATATATATATATATATATATATATATATATATATATATATATATATATATATATATATATATTTATTTATTTATTTATTTATTTATTTTTTGTAATTAATGCATATATGGATTAATTAGTTGATAATTATAAATACATCATTATAATTAATGGATATATTTACCATCTTTATTTGATAAAGTGTCTCATTATACATTTGTACCATAAAATTTTGAATTGAAACAAATTTTGGTAAAAGTTGTGTATCTATTTCGTATAAAAATTGGAGTCCAAGTGAATAATAATATTTAAATTTTAGTCACAATTTCCAACTCCGGTCATTCAACTTGCACCTCCAATCCTCCACCTACTTCAACTTTGATTAGGTGATTACTTGAGATATTTATAATATAGATTTGCAACACTCTCTTTAGTATTATTCAATGATGATGCAAATAATTATCCCAAAAGAGATAACCGAGCAAGTAAAGTATATATGATTCTTGTATTTATATGTTACGAATTCAATGCATACTATACTATTATATAGGAGCGAGATTTAATTTATTTAGTACACAATTTCTATCATCACCCCAGAAAAATTGGATAAAGAGTATTTTTCCTTTAACTTGTTTAATTAAACTAAAATTGCACACTTAAATAAGACTAAGGATGTGTTTGGTTGATGGGCTTTGCCCATAGGAATGGGTATGAAAGTGATTGTTATTGTTTGGTTGATAGGTTTTTAGAACACTACTACGGGTTTCGAATACCCCATGAATTGAAAAACCTATACCCAAATGAATAAGGGTTTCATTCCCTTATTCATTCTCAAGCACTACTATTAATAATCATTCTCATTTCATCCTACTACCAAACATGTTAAATACTTTCACCAAAACTCATTACCATTACCAAGTATTTGATACCCATTCCGATTCTGATTTTCATGTGCGAACCAAACACACTCTAAGTGTGTGTTTGGTTTGAACATGGGAATCGGAATTGGAATGAGAATCAAATACTTGGTAATTGAAATGAGTTTTGGTAAAATTATTTTGTATATTTGGTACTAAGGTGGAATTAGAATTATTATCAATATTAATGTTTTATTATGTATAACTTTATAATCGGGATAAAGGTTTTAAAAATACATAAAAATGATGATGAAGTAAATAAGGCAATGGAGTGTGATGGACTTGGTCCATTAAAAACCATCATTAGTCAATTGATAATATTCTGGTGGACCTTTAGTATCGTTTTAATAAATCTACACTGATCTATCTAAATTCGTAACGAACATGTAATATTATTTTGATAAACTTGGGTCCATATTATAACATGGTCGAAGTCCAAGCTATGCAATCTTTATACTATAGACCAGGGTTCACATTGTAATATGAATACTCATTCATGTGTATGTATTTTGTGTTATGATATGTTGTATTTTACATTATGAAATTTTGTACATTAAAGGTATAAATTCTATATCTGGAACGAATTAGTAATTGTGTCTTATGTTATGAATTTATGTATTTTGTGTTGTGAAATTTTGTATCTATGAACACAAATTATATACCTAAATTATATTTGAAAAATAAGTAAATATACAACATGTGTATGTGTCTTGTATTATGATTTTTTGTGTTGTGTTATGAAATTCTGTACCTTACGAGTATGTGTTTTGTACTTCATCGTTTCAATCCAAGGTCCATAATGTTATGTGTCTTGTGTTGTAATTTTTTCTGTTTTATGTTATGAAATTTTATACCTTACGAGTTTAAATTTTGTACTTCGTCGTTTCAATCTAGGGTCCATAATGTTATATGAACTCTGGTCCATTATATAAATTGCCCAAGCTATGGTATATCAAGTTGGGTCAAGAGGATAGCAATCCTTTTACCATGGAGCAAGGTTCACGGTGCACTGTTGACTTTGGTGCATGTATATGCGTTTTATGTTGTGAGTTTTTGTGTCTTGTGTTATGAAATTTTGTACCTGAGGCAAATTAATAATTGTGTCTTATGTTATGAATTTATGTGTCTTGTGTTGTGAAACTCTGTGCCTATTAATACAAATTATACACTTAAATTAGATTTAAAAAATAAGTAAATATATAACATGTGTATATGTCTTGTGTTGTGATTTTTTGTATCTTATGTTATGAAATTATGTACCTTACGAATATGAATTCTGTACAACGTTGTTTCAATCCATGGTCTATAATACTATGTGAACCCTAGTCCATGATATAAATTGTTGGAGAATAGTTATCCGGGCCAAAGGTTTTACCAGTAGTTTCTGGGCCAAAACACGATTCAAATATGGGCCAAACATAGGCTAGCAGTTGAGCTGAACAGAGAATCGGATCGTCCTTCTAAGTTCTTACCGGAAAATTTCCCGGATGTCGGAAAGGTGAAATTGTTCAATGGGAGGTAATCAAGGTATTGATGTAATGGGCAACGGAATATCATAGGTACTGGCGGATAATTCTCGGAAGCCCTAGCTGGAGCATAAGCACATCGATAATTGAAAGGTAAAAGTTTAAAACGTTAAAGTATAAACATAGGCAAAATCGTTTTTCTGTTTTAATTTTAACTATATTATATGTCAAATTTGGTTTAATTCCATAATCAGTGGCCTTGGATGGTGTTGAACTGCGTAGTTCGGAATTAAGCGAGGCTGATATGCTAGTTTTCATAGTTTGGAGGCATTTAATGGTAGTTAGAATGGCAATGGCCATCCATCTTTGTGTATACGAAGGCGATGAATCTGAAAGTTGGAAAATTCAGTCATTCAACAGAAGAGGATGAATGAGCTGGGTCTTTTTGAAGATACAAAAGCTACAACTTAAGAATCTATTGTGAAAATTAAATAAATGAATAAATAGACATATAAATTCTGCTTCAGCTGTGTACTTGTGTCTGTGGAACAAATCAATATGTAAAAAAGAATTGAAACTAAAAAGATGGCGATAAACAAATTGGGTAAGAGACCAAAATCATTACTTAAGTTAAAAGAAAGAATGAAGAACTAATTGCTGTCAGGGGTAGCTTTTACTCCTTTTATAGTGTCTGATTTGAATCTGTGAGGAGAAATGCTTCCCTCCAGCCATCTCAGGTGAACTTTGAGGAAACAGTCAGGTGGTCCTTCAGTTTGGCATCAGCTCATCAGGTATATCTTCTCTTCTTTTCAATGCTTTAAGGCTTGAAATTTTGCACTTGTAAGTGTAACCCTGTTGCGTTCTTGTTGAGGTCCTCTGTGTGTCTATTTTGTTATTGTGTGCAAAAAGTTAGTCAGAATAGAACTTTAAAGGGTAATCCCACTAATCACACACACAAAAGGGGGGGAAGCACCTTCATACCTGGTTCATCTTGATTTTGTCTTTACATCTATGCCTTTTGTTGTATATCATTCAGTTGCAAATGTGGCTTCCACTTTTTCTAGATGAGCTTTTGTATGATTGAGGTGATTTTCTGCCAAATGCTTGGCTATCTGCACAAGTGTCATAAGGTTTTGCTTGAAATAGAAACATGAATTCACACCATTTTCTAGCGACTGTCCAAGACCCAGATGTCTGGTGGGCTATGCACCTATTCTACCACTTCACCCTGATTTTGAGTTAATTCCCACATTGTAAAGTAAGCCTTCAAGCATTGAACAGTTTATTTGTATTGTTAAGTTGGATCTTGAAACTCTTGAAGAAAAATTCCAAGTGAATGAGGTTAGTTTGTGTCTTCTGTACTCTGTGTGCTCGTTTTCCTCTTTTGAACTACATAGTACCCAATCCCTCCCAAAACAACTAAAATAACAAATCCATCGACTACTCCTACCACAACGGAGACCCATTTCTTTAGACCTGAATGTTTACCATGGCCCTGATCAACTTCCTTTGGCACCTTAACCATATAGCTCCATTTGCTTCCTCTTTCAATTTGTTTAACTCCTCTTACTAACCCATAAAGATAACATTCTCCCAGGCTTGCATCATCACCAATTGGTGAATATAATGCTGCAACACATGTACAGTTATCTAAACACAAATTTGCACACACTTCTTTCTTAACATTGACCTTTTTAGAATTGCTACTGAGCACACTCGTAACTCCTCGTAACTCGAGCATTTCTACCCTACTTGTATTACAGATCCCACCAGTTATTTCTTCACTGCAATCAGAAAGTAATCCATCTCCTCTTTTTATTAGCCTTATACATGAGCAGTCACTGGAGAAGGTGCAAATACCATATGGTTTACACACCAAAGGAAGATCACAAGTACTGTTGATTGCCTTGTATGAAGCTTCAAACACTCCCTTGTCAGCTGAGTAGTAATAAAGTCCCAAGTTACCTGAATTGTTCCCTAGTGCTAAAAATTTTGGAGGTTCCCGTATTTTTGACCTTAATTGAGCAATTCTCCATTGCATACCATTATATATCTCTAATCCTTCTGAAGTCAATTCAACATATGTAATAGTTCGGTTATTAGAGGGCCTAAATTCCCAGTAAGAATACTTCCACTTACCAGAGTTCAGATACAATGCAAGCTTGTCATCGTGGATCTCCAGTGAATAAAATAAACTAGAGTTACTTGGGAAAGCAGTCAGCTGAGTTTTTGAACTTAGTCTCTGGCCCCAGAGCATTATATTTGTTGGGAAATTGAAACTTTGCCATTTTATCATGTTCAGGGAATCAACCAAAACTAGATTGCCTGTCCGTAGCAAGTGTAATCTCTGCATCAATACATCATATCAGATATTAGCCTTTAGTTGTCAATACAAGTGTGACATTGAACAAGTAGTTATAATTCTATCTTACCTTAACGCCTTGTCCAGAAGTTCCTGTTCGCCATCCAACACTTCCTCTCTGGCCCTTCAATCTTAGGTCTCCATTTTGTGTTAACTCAAGAATGCACTTCTCCGTTGTGTAAAACTGTGACAAATGACCAGAGCTCCATACCTTGACATCTCCAAGAAACACATCAAGCGAACACGTATACTTCTCATCAACTGCTTCAACGCTAATTGCAGCCTTAAAGTTGAGCACTGTTTGGTTCGTCTCCATCAGAAAAGCCCTCCCCACAAACCCTCTGCTGTATTCTATCGGTATAGCAACAGTTACTTGGTAACCAACATGAACATCAGAAGTGCAGCAACCACATGCCAGCCACTGAACGAGAAAAACAAGTATGTAGATATTCATGTGTGAATATTTCTCTGTCTTTTCTTCTCACATATGGTACTCTCTTTATGTTTTGTTGCAAGTGGGCAGTGGCTTCCGCGGTGATGAGCTGAACTGGTGGGAACAATATACACTACAGAAAGTATAAAGTTGGTACAGGTATAATATGGTAGCATTAGTAGTGTCACCCCACTCCCTAAAAGTATCATAACTCTGGTTTTGAATATGTTTAATGCAGTGGGTTTGTGGTTAACAATGTGCCAGCTGATAATAATGCTATTAGTATATAGTGCTAAGTTGGTATATTGGAGCTGTCTGATTAAAAGATTGTTACAGGAGGACTTCTAGAGAGAAATCAATTGATTGAGGTTGTCAAAAAGGTAATCCAATTTTATAATTGATTTAACAGTGATTTATGTCCCTAGTAACCAGGGCCATTAGATCTTCTGGGCAGGTAGTGATGGATGATGATAAGGACTTATTGTCCAGATTTTCGTGGAGGGGTCAATGTGGCTTGCCTTTTGGGTTGTGGCATGCTGACCCCTTTTGAGTGGATTTCTGAATAAGTTATGTTTTTGGATGCCACATGGGAGCCATTAAAGCAATTTTCTCCATTGCTGACTCCCATCTGGCATGCGAATGACGTTCACTATCTTGAAGCTACACAAATTATTACATAGAGATTCCTTTAGTAACGTTATAAGGTGGTCAATTTTATCATGATTATATGTTTCATTTGATTTATTTTATTCATCTGAACTTAACATAGTTTTTGGAGTAATTCTCAAGCTCACAGGTAGCTTTGTTTTTCACTTGTTTCTCCCTGACGTGAGTTGAACGTTTGCGAAATGAGGCAAATTTTCTTTTTGGTACATCAAAATGCCAAACTAAAAGAGCAAACTAGAAACGGAACTAAACAAAAGGGATGGCTAAAACTTAGCTTTGTGTTGGTTTGGCTCGGTCTATATTACAACTCCTTCAAAACTCAAAAGGCTGTCTGTGAGTTTTATTCTTACAATATAAGTTTCGTCACCCAAATTACCTTCGAGAATTATGAACCACTCCTCCTTGGGCAAAATTAGAAAAGCAAAATGATTGCTAATTGATGCTTGGCCAACTACTGACAATGAAATTGTCCTTAGCTTCTTTTCTAAGTATGCTGTCGTCAAAAAAAAAAAAAAAAAAAAAAAAAAAAAAAAAAAAAAATCCATAAACCAAAATATGCCACTTGGCTTCATAATTTTTTATATATATTCATTATCCATTAATTGATTTACTAAATTTATCAAATAAATCTAAAATTATCCATTCATATATATAAGAGGATTTCAAGTTTCAACAAATAATATCATAGGTTCTGAAAGTCATCATGCAAGGTGAGAACCCTGATACATAGGGTCGGATGAGCGGATCTAGAGATGACAAGGCGGGCAGTTGCCCCCACTTCACCTAAGGAATGATCATGGTTCGTTTCCTGTTCTGGAAAATGGGGAACCGGAACCTTTCAAGATGTTTCCAGTTTGAATTGAATTTTTTTTAATTATGTTTTTTATTTTTAAAATAGTTCAAATTTAACAATTAAATTTTTTTGGAAATATTTTTTGTACCCCACAAGCAATTATTCTATACTACATATATGTCGTATTATTTTTCATTTGTATTCTCAGCATGTAATAAGGTAAAAAAAAAAAAAAGGATAAGTAAAAACAAATAAAACAATAATAAATATTGTATTGTATTAAAGCTACTTCAATTTAGTTAAATTATTTGGTCAAGCTAAGTCTTTGATAATATTATCTTCCTAACCCATGTTGCAAACAATTTAGTATAGCCGTCGGATTAAATATACCGAGTTGTCATTCTGAACAGAAATAAAGAAAATATTTTATTCATGAATGAATGAAATTGATTGATGAAAAGATTGCAAGATGCCAAAACATGTTAAAATATATTTTTCCAGTTTAGAACCAGAAACGTCTAGTTCCGAATTGGAACCAATGACTCCGGTTCCATAAGTTCGAACCAAACCGGGGGATTTCGGGCTGGACCATGATCCATGGGCTATACATAACTGAGAAAACCATGGAAGATAAAAAGCAAAAGAACCGTTTGGGCTTGCTAGTGACAAGATTGGGAAAATGGGCTTTTGGCTTTGCTGAGAGCTCAATCGTCTTCATCAATGGAGCACGTGCACTTTTCCGAGATAGTTTAGCGCGAGCTACTCAGTACTCACTACAGTACTTAACATGATGGTAGTGGCCGGGCGACTCTTCGCGGGCAGATACTCACGAGCGTTTTCCGGTTATCGGAAAATTAAAAAGAAAATGAAACCGAGCACCGACGATAGTTCTGAAACCTCCCGTGCCGCTGTGAGTTCTTTTCTTCCTTTCTTGGTTTCACATTTTTCTCTTTCGCTAGATGTCAAATTAATCAATGTCTCTTTTATTTGTAAGGCCTCAGAGTGATTGAATCTTTAATTTAAATTTTATTATCTTTCGTAATTCATACTGTTAGGAAAGGTTGAATTATTATGTGCAGGGACTTTTGTGGGATTGATATGAGTATTGATCTAAAGCTTCATTGTTGGCTTGTTAGGATCAGAGGCCCCAAAGAAAGATATCAGATGATTTAGGGAAAAGAAGTCGGTTACATATTGATAAAAATTCTGGAGATGAACAAGAACGTGATTCACATTTAGGTAGTGTTATTAGTTCTAGTCATAAGAGTAAAAGGAGAACTAGAATTGACTTGGGAGCTCGGTTTCAGCTACCATTAAACCAGACAGTAGAGGGCATTGGTTCGCAGGAAATTCAAGGTTCGAGGATATTGAATTCTGTAGACCATAAGAGAGACTCTTTGCTGCCTATTAGTTTTGGGAAGAGGAGTGTGAGTTTCGGTGATAATAAGTTGAGGCTTCAGAACGCATATTCTCCTTCAAGATTTGGTGGTACGAAGCGTAGTTTAGTTGAAGCTTTCAATATGAATGAGCCATTCGATATTTGCCTGTCTGAGAGTAGAGAAGCTGTCACTCTTGAAGCTCCTTTACAAAGAAACGAGATAGAGAAACAAAGTGATGTGGATCAGTGGATTGAAGAGGGGAATGGAACGGTATTGAGACCCGGAATGGTTCTGCTTAAGAATTACATCCCTCTCAGCAAACAGGTAATGCTTTGGGGCTCCACTTCTCTTTGCATATGTATGAGTTTCTTGGAATTATATACCCATCAGTAAGTAACTATGTGCATTGGATATGGTTTAGATTTATATCGTAAAGACATGTCAAGAACTAGGTCTCGGGCAAGGTGGATTTTACCGACCTGGTTACAAAGATGGAGCAAAGCTACGTCTGTATATGATGTGTCTTGGTCTTGATTGGGATCCGCAAACAAGAAGATATAGTAAGACAAGGCAACATGACAATGCTGAACCACCTTGTATTCCGCATGAATTCACTAGTTTAGTTTCCAGCGCCCTTCGTGATTCTCACGCTTTGATCCAAAGAGACTTCAAATCGAGCAGTCCAGTTGAAATACTTCCTTTGATCACTCCAGACGTCTGCATTGTTAACTTCTATACAGTCGAGGGGCGACTTGGTCTCCATCAGGTTCCTTATGCTTCCATATTATAGTCAAACATGTCTTTTAACTGCATCTAGTTAATGTATTAATGTAATCCTCCAAAAATAGATCATATTGTTTTTTAAACACAAGATCATGATATCAATAATTCAATACATATGATGAAAGATTTCATTTTTTTGAAAACTGATGAAATTCGTGGTTAGAGGACTCATTTCATTATTTTTATCCACAGGATCGTGATGAAAGCCCAGAGAGTCTTCACAGTGGATTGCCTGTTGTCTCTTTTTCCATTGGCGACTCTGCTGAGTTTTTGTATGGAGATGAGAGGGATGTCCAGAAGGCTGAGAAAGTTTCACTGGAATCAGGAGATGTGCTGATATTTGGCGGCAAATCAAGACATATTTTTCACGGGGTGACATCAATCATCCCAAACACAGCTCCTCCTGCCTTGTCTGAAATCACAAAGCTCCGTCCTGGGCGTCTAAACCTCACCTTCAGACAATACTAATGAAACTACATTCACGTAAGCATTCATACTTTGGTTTTAACTTGCGTTTCCAGTATTTCCCAGAAAGGAAGCAAGCAAAAAGGTAAGATTTTAGATTCTAGTGGAAAGCCTGAAGTCTGCAGTTGTAAACAAGATTTAATAACTTCTAGCTCCTGAAACTCTTCAATGTTGTTTCCCTAAGAAGTAGGTTATATCACTTGTATGGTTAGCACATATGTAATATGTTGGGGCAAAATTCTGTAGAAAGTAACTGTCTACTGCAGATTTTTCATTTTTGTCTCCCTTTGAAAGCTGATCATCAAATCCCTATTCCCTAATGGATGGAATTTTTCATCTCTTTCAGCTTCATTTGGAATTTTATGTGTCATCATCATCCAAAAAAATCATCCACATTCTCTGAACACTTTAGTATCTTATTAATTACGGAGTAACTCATTAAAGGGTTGATCTAATCTCGAGACTTTCGATATGGTAACAACATATTATGTCTTCAGTTAGCATATTGCAATTAACAGGTTATGTGTTTGTAGTTACCATTTTATGTGTTGTAGTTAACATACAGAATATGTCAATTGCAAACACGTATTTTGGATCAGGGTACAATGCAAAGTAGACCATGATTCGTGGTATAATTTGTCATAAATTTTCTCCTTGTCTTTTTGACCCATTTTCAAATGCAAGATTGACATTGTGTCCCAAAATTCAAAGAGAGCAATATAATAAGAAAAAGGGTAACATGAAAAAGGTGTCTGGTTATTTTAATTGTAGCAACATTTTTTTACACATACCTTGATTTTTGAGGTAATCATTGTGTCACACCAGTACCTTCTTTTTTTTTTTTTGACAAAATTAAATGTGTTAACTATTTGGACAAGTCTTTTTGCAACGGTAAAAGACAGTTTGATGACATAAAAGTGAAGCAAATATAAACTGGGAAACAGGCATTTTAGAGGGCATAATTTGGTTTTGAGCTTTGCGGCTGCCTAAGCATCAGAGATTCAGAGTCCATTCACTGCTTCAAATACATTCATACCATTTTTACTGCTAACATTTTTAAAAATTGAAAATGAATTTCACAAATTTGAGAGAAAAGATACAATATAAATTTCTATATCGCTCTTATATATCTTTATTATGTAAGGTATTTGAGTCTTTATACATATAATTTCCAACAATTTATTTCTTTTAGACAAATATTAACATTTCAAGTAATATCTTTTCTATGAAATTTAAATTTAAATTCTTCTCAATTCTTTTCTACGAACCAAACAGCAAATATTAAATAAATTTTGAAGGGTGTCTTGTGAAGAACATGGGCAACCAGTAGTAGTAGTGAAGCTAAGGGACTATCATACAATAACACAACAACCTTGTGGACAGCTTTTTCTAGGCATGCGCTACACTGCAAAAATGTACCAACATTTACTTAAGGTTGCATGTGGAAAAAATCATATTACAGAAGTCACCTAATATAAGAAATTAAAAATTTATTTAAAAAAAAAAATTTAACAGCGTTTAGATTACTCTTCTTTTTTAATACATCAACGATAATGAATGTTGGGATGTCAATTAGGCCAACCCGACTAGTTCAATCGAGCAAACCCAATTAGGTTGATTTTTTATCGGGTTATTTTTTCAACCCTAATTGATCTTATCGGGTCAACACATCAGTTTTGGACTACAATTGACATCCGTAAACACGTGCAACCTAATTCTTAATAAAAACTCTAC